CATAATTGCCAGATACAATGGCGAAGATTTTAACATATTAGTACTCGAATGAGGGAGTTCAAAAATTCTGCCACTCTTGGATCTAGGCACACGTAAGTAAATTTGGCACACGAGAGCAGGACAATTAATGCCATTATTAATAATGTTTGATAGAAGAACGATACTATCGACGCTACGTCTTTTTACCAGACTTGGCATTTGAAATCTAAATAGCAAAAGATTATTTGGAAAACCTTGAACAGGATAAACACCATCCTCCAAAAATGCAATAAATTTAAGAAAGCGTCGCTGTACTTTTTCTACCCTGTTGATATGAATATATATATATAAAAAAAAAAGTCTAGACCGAACAAAACTAAAATATAACATCTTCGACGAATCTATCACCTCTATTCCTTTGGAGTTGCGAATGATAAAGCCAAGAGATTTGTATGCCGACGCAACGATACATTCAATATGCTGTATGAAATTCAACTTTAGGTCAAATGTAACTTCTAAATCTTTTATATGGTGTAGTCTTTCCAAAACGTTACTAGCTATGGAATAATCAAAATCGATAGTATTTTGCTTTCTTGAATAAGTCATGACATAACACTTACTATAGTTTAGTGGAAGATTATTACTTACAGACCAGTCACTTAATGTATTCAGATTACGTTGAAGATTAAGGCAGTCACTCCAATTTCGAATTTGATGGAAAATTTTTAGATCATCAGCATAAATTAGGCACTTCGCTGTTAAATGTAAAGTTATGTCATTAATAAACATATTAAACAATAGAGGCCCAAGAACCGAGCCTTGAGGCACACCTGAAAGTTGTTCATACCATTTAGACCGATAGCCATTCAAAAAGACATACTGAGTTCTACCCAAGAGGTAAGAATTTATTAAAGTTATCAAATGATCTGAGAAACCAAAATATTTTAGTTTAGTCAACATAAGGCGATGATCTATACGGTCAAACGCCCTGGAAAAATCAGTATAAATACAGTCCACCTGACCCTGTTCGTCTAACACCTCAGATAAATATTGTGTCTTCAGCACCAAATTAGTCACCGTAGACCTACCTTTCACAAAACCATGCTGACTATCTGTGATCATATTCGAAACATGTGGATAGATTAAAATATGAAGGACATGTTCAAAAACTTTTGCCAGATTGTTAATTATTGCTATGGGTCGATAATTGGTAACATTAGATCTATCGCCATTTTTATAAATAGGAGTAATCCTCGACTGCTTCCATACATCAGGAAATGTGGATGTACGCAAGATTACGTTAAATAATATTGTCACCGGTTTTGCAAAAATTGTCGCACAATCTTTCACTAAGAATGATGGTATTAAGTCCGGTCCTGCAGTCATAGTTGGTTTCAATTTACGCATAGCTTTGAGTACAATTTCTTCATCGAAGTAATCTATACTGAGGTAGTCGATACTTGGATCATTTGAACTATTGTAATCATAATTTTGAACAGAATTAGAGATGTTAAAAGCTGTTTTAAAGAAATCTGCAAAGGTTTCCACAATGTTCTGGGGGCTGTTTAAAGCATTTTCTTTATAAGACATCGTAGTAGGAACAGATGAAATGTTGTTTTTGGCCTTGATGAATCCCCAAAACCTTTTCGGATCGTTTTTAACATTAGCTGAGACATTACGCATGTATATCAAATAAGCATCTTTAACAAGTTTTTTTATGTCCCTTCTCAGTGCTTTGAAATTTTCATGAGCAATTACACAGTTCGTTTTTTTAAATTGCAGCCAAAATTTATATTTTTGTTTGATCAGATTAATTATATTTATATTGTACCAAACTGGATAATTACCGGCAGGTTTTTTCTTTGTAGGCACACATTTGCGTAAAATTGGATGTATGGCATCATAAAACATAGTAACTGCATCATGTATATTATTTAAATTCCTAAGAAAATCAAAATTAAGTTCTGCTAGTTCTGTGTAAAGATCAATTAAATTAGCTTTTTTAAAATTAAATTCCAAAATATGATCCCCATGTTTCTGTTTTTTTGTCCTATCATTACTAATACCGAATGTAATCTCCAGTGATGGATGATAAGGATCTTCAGGAGTAACCGAATCAGTTGCCGATGTTACAGAGAGATTAAAGTTCGCATAAATTAAATCTAAAATTCGATTATCACAATTTATATTATTATTATACTGGATGAGCTAATAAAAATTTGACATATTTCCTAAAATTGCTACTTTATTACTAAGAAGAACATCACCTGTAGTACAATTCCAGAACTCTGTAACATTTAAATCACCAAGAATAATAATTTTTGACTCATACAACCAACTCATTGTCATTATACATTCAACAAATACGGAGTATTCATCCACAGAACACCTCGGTGGAATGTATACCAAAACTATGTAAACAGAAAAATTTATGGCAAATTTACATTGAACTACTACTATATCTATCCATGGAATTCTTTTAAGATGGTCATACAAAGGATGTAAATCAACAAGTACTGCCTCATAGTTCTTTCGTATAGCTAGGAGAACCCCTCCCCCTCTAGAAGTTGATGTTTGAATAAATCTGCGATCAGTACGCCATACATTGAATTGATTGAGATCAAATATTTCGGCGTTGTTAACCCCAGAGTTTAGCCATGTTTCACTAAAACAAAATATATCATATTCTAACGATGACAGTGTATTATTGTAAATATCTAAAATTTTGGTGTTTAAACCTCGTACATTCTGATAATAAATGTTGATTTGTTTAAAAGATACAGACTGATTGCAACTGGAACTTGATTGCAGTGATTGTTATTGGATACTAAGTATATTTCGCTTAAAATCTGATGTAGCTCTTTGATACGCACTACAGTTAGCAAGATCCCAAGCTGCGTGTTCTACATCAACTTTATCTTTTTGTCTACCATTCAATACTACGCAATTAACGCATTTGAGATTTTCGCTATTGCAGTCTTTAACAACATGACGTTCAGCACATCTTGGACAGGTTGGCATTCTTTGAGAACATTGCTTTGAAAAATGGTGGTAGCCACAGCAATTGAAGCAGCGCCTTATTTCCACAGCATCATACACCATGCAGCAAGTCCTATGATTAAATAACCGTTCTTAAGTATGTTATTATAAGCCGTAATATCCACTTGAACCTTACAGTGTTCGCTGGTTTATTAAAAGTGTTGTTACCCTTTTTATTCTTTAGAGCAGACCAAGTAATTACTTCACAAGCAGTAGTATCAGAAAATAAATCTTTATTCTGATTCACGATATAATTTGGTAAGATATCATCACCTGAAATACCCACCACTTTAACCCTAGGTTTTAGTTGCGGTAATTCTTTTACCACATACTTTTCACTTAATTTATCAGCAGCTATAACCGATATTTTATCAACATCATCCTTATTAGGACACTTAATGATTAAGCTTCCATTGCGCCCCATCTTAGTATTAGATACCGCTACACCAGATTTTACAGGATCAACAGCATGCAGAACATCAGACTTGGTCACTGATATATTTTGTTTTACATCTTTCGGTTGAAGAATGACAGTGAATGAATTTTTCATTGCTGCTGCATAATTTTTATTACCTGAGGTTGATATCGAGTTACCTTCTATAAGTGATTTTTTAAGTTCTTGGAATTCATTCTCAAAGTGAGTACGTAAATCCACTTTAATCTTTTCAATTTCACTATTCAAATTCTGCGATTGAATTACCGAAAATTTTTCAAAATTTGCACACAAAGTAGCGATATCATCAGCAAGTCCAGTAATGTTCTTTTTTACATTACTGAAGACGGATTTCTCTAAAACCTGACAACTACATTTGCAAGTATCACAAAGATAGAATAAGTTCTTATTTTTTTCTAGCAGTTTAAATTCATTTTCCGTGAAGTTAACACACGAGTAGTGAAACCACTTATTGCAAATACCTTCACAGCCTATTAAACCGTCTTTTTTTGAAGATTTACATTTAGTGCAATTCGACATTGCACTAATCTTTAAGGTCACACTTAATTATCAACATAAGAAGAAAATACACGACAGCAGTAAAGAATGTTTTTACCAGTATACGATCAGCAGTAACGCTGAGTTCCCGCGCTTAACTAAATTAAAAGATTTACAAAGTAACCACTATTAAATATGATGCTATGCTTACACCACTACCTCTCGGATAACGGTTAATTTGTATACACCATTAGTACAAAAATGACTTGTAAATATTCAGTATAAACTCACAAGAAACAGAGAGAACATCCACACACTTGCGACACCTCACTAGTAAAAATGAAACACCCTATATAAACTATATATCTTTACATATTTTGATTGACCTCCTTCTAGGTTTTGAAACTAAAGTTTATTTTTGAAATTATGATGCGACGTTGCCACGTTATTCCAATTTTCTTGACATTTTTTTGCAATGGAAGGGTTTGTGGCGCCATCTATGTGAGCCTGTACCGCGACGTTTCCCCCCATCAGAGGGCTAGTGAGAATTAGTACTTTTTAATCACAGACCACACACTTTAGATGGGAATCTACTGTACTACCAATGGTAATAGAAATAGCGCGCCGCCAGTGGAGGTGGGGACAACTAAATCAAAAATAGCGCGAATTTTAAAGGAATCGCTATTAATAAAAGCATGTGAAAGTGAAGTAGAAAATGTTCATTACGATTCAAGCTATTGTCACCGAAATATTGTTAGGGTGACAATAGCTTGAACCATAATGAACATTTTTTACTGAAGATTGAAATGAAACTTTTCTGTTAAAAAAATAATATTTATTGAAACGATTTAATTAAAACTTAATCTAATTAAATCACACACACAGACAATAATATTTATTCCTACAGGTAACACCCAATTACAGGAATAATATCAGACTAACTAAACTGATTCATGACAGCAACTAAAAAGTATAAATATTTAAAAAACAAAAGTATTTATAACTAATTAAACATTAAACCAAATTTACAATGCAATTACAAATACTACAACTAGAATCTAAATTAATATCATATAAATGTGCAATTTTGTTGAATAAATTAGACATAGCCGAAACTGAAAAGCAAACTGAGATGTTTGTACGGCTAGAATCAGTATAAAACAGAACTATATATTAAATCAATACAGTCTAATTTATTGTGATATAAATTGTATAAAAGTTGATAATAAAAAAGAGATAACGATAATATCAAATTTGTCTTATTATCAACGGGCGGAATGATGTTTCAGACGCTCGATCCAGTGCCGCCGCGTCGATACTTTGATTACAAATATATTTTTCTTTTGAACTATATCAACATAATATAACATTTCAAGATCACAAATCTGTGTTCTTGATTCAAAGCACCTGGCAAAAAGTACTTTACTCGCGTCAACAATCTTGTTCGTAAATACAAGAAACCTTCAATTGTTTTAACTAAATTTTTGGTCGATGGGACTTTTACATATATGCCCTTTTTACTATTCCAAAAACGCATTGATTTAATTACTTTCACAGATTCTTCCCACCACTTTTTATGTCCAGAATCAGTCGAAACCCCTCCTTTAAATGGTTTACTTACTGGCGCTTGTTTTGCATTACCATTGAGGCTGTCAAATAACATATCCATAAACAAGATGAAATCTGCAGTTTACACTGCTTCAGCAGGTAAGCTGTTGTCACACTGAAGACCTAGAAAAAAAAAGAAAAGAAAAATTATTAGTATTAAGATTTTCTGGTAAATACAATATTACTTACCCCATTGTGAAATGCGTTTCATCAAGGATCCCACTTTAAAACTGAACACTTGCGCCATCAATGACACCTTCATCTTGTTCATCGTTTTCTTTTAATTTTGCCACTGACTGCTTGAAACTGTCCATTAGGCGTTTATTCAAGCCAGGGCGGAGTGGAATTTTATTTAATAAATTAATTAATGTCCCAGGTGACGGCAAACAAAAAATCTTGGATAATAAGCGGTATGCTTTCGCACTGGCCTTAAAAAGTGTTAGAGACAATAATTTCTCTTTTAACGTAAATCTGCGACTTTTGGGTTTAAGTTTCTGGTTTCTTAGCTGTTGCTGAATGAAACAAGTTTCATCTTCTACATCTGTAACAATGAAATGATGTTATAAATAATGAGATAATGAGTAGGTATTTCTAGATTCAATAAAATTGTAATTCATGGTTACTCACTTGGGATTACTGGTGATTGAATAAAATCACTAGTTACTGAGGCTGGCTGCTTCTTCAACCATTGACGTCAAATGGACGTCATCTTTCTCTTTCCCTTGTAGGACAACTGCAATACAAAAAGTTGTTGTTCAAAGTCTATTGAAATTAATGGGAATGAACAAATTTACTTTGATATGCAAAGTAATGAAAATGAACAATTTTACGCTGATATGCTTTTCGATGAAACAAAAGAAATTGCAAACGACGAGGCATGCTTTGGATAAGATTTTGGATTATATTCAGCGGAAGATTGTTCCATTTCTGCACCACTATGTTGCGAAGCTCTCTAGAATTTCTGGGGGCCGGCACATGTCTGCGTAAACGTTTCCCTATCTCATCACAAACATGTTGAATGGGATTTAAATCTGAACTGTCCACTCGCTTATGTTTACATTTTTCACTTTTTGCAGATGAATTTGCAATTGACAGATAACACCAAAAAAAACAATGCTGATAATGGTTTTTAAGAATTTGGCTGGAGGACTCCTTTTTTGTCAAACGCTTATCGAAACAACAACATTTTTTTAAAGCAATCAGTTCGTAGAGTATGTTATATCGGAAAAAAATTACGGGTGACCCGAATTTTATGCTCGGCAGTGTATATTTTTTATCGCTCATTACTTATTACTGATGACACTTTGTAATACAATTGTAATTGTTTGTACATACCTGCTGATAAACAAATATTCGGAAAAGCATCTCTACGAAGTCCCCGTCTTGTTCCAGGAACATTGAAATCGGTAGAAAAATGTCTATCACACACATATTTTTTATAGATTTCGCTTGATTCCATGGAACTAAAAAGAGGCGCGTTGACATTTTCAATCCATTTTTTCAGCAGCTGTTCCTCTTTGGGAAATCACAAAACGAAATCACAAGACGAAAAGACAAAATACCGTTCAGTAGAACTTTCTCCAAATTGGCTTGTTTAAAATGATTCATCAACCAAAATCGCCATGCGTATTGCTCACTGTGCAATTTTAATTAGCAACAGCGCCCTATATCGGGCGTAGGAGTAACATTTAGTAGAGACGCAAACCACTGAAATTTTGTTTGCGCTCTCTCCATAAGACTTTCTTGAATTCTTGTCTAAAGTGTAAAAGTGTGTGGTCTGTGTTTTTAATTTTGCTCTGATGTCAACACCGTTTTGTATTTCCTCTTATGTGAACAAAGTTTGTGAATAAATTGTTAATTGTTGGGGATTGAAAGTTATTGAGCACCTGAGCAACATCAACCCCACAGGTTCACAAATGAAATCGCAATAGGCTTATTTTTAAAGTCTGTCAATATTTTGTGACAGGACAAACAAAGGTATGCGCGGTGTTGTGGTACCAATTAAATAAAATTTTAATATACAGAGTGGCTACAAAAAATCTAAAACTTTAAAATTTTTAAATATCGATATTTCAGTTTTTTCAAATGGAAGATGCTGTATTTTATTATCGTTTCTTACTCCATTTTTGTTCTCATTCTTCTAATAGCTTCAGTTGATAATGTGTACACTGCATTACGTAATTCTTTCAAGCTCAAAACAAGCTATGTCATCTGATCGCACTCCAATGCAGATTCCAATATACAAACACATCAAAACTGAATTAGTTCATCGTCAAGCCAAAGGTGAAGCCAATCTTAGAATACGATATAAAAACGGCATTCCCACAATCATTATTACATATACCTACGTCGGAAAAGTAAATGTGCCCAACAGTGTCTTTCATAATCATCTTTCAATTTATTATCAAAACTGTCGCGGATTACGCTCTAAAACTCTTTTTATGTCAGTGCCTGTGAATTATCTTTTGATATTGTTGTCATTGCTAAATCCTGGCTAAACGACACCATAAATAGTGCTGAGCTATTTCTTTGTAACCATAACGTTTTCAGGTGTGACAGCAAATTCAAATATCGTAAGCAGAGTTGATGGTGGTGGTGTCCTCCTTAGTGTTTCTAAAAATATTTTTGTTGAAACTGTAAATACTACGAATATCTCAAATCTTATACCTCTAACTGATTCTCTCATTTGCAAATGTGAACTAAATACTTTTTTTCTTGTAGCGTTATGATATATACCTCCTAATGTTCCTGCTGATGATTACGAACTATTTTTTGAAGGTCTTGAGGCTTTTCTTTGTGATAAAACCGTTTTACTAATTGGCGATTTCAATCTGCCGAATTTTCATAATAATGATTATGCATGTTCCAAAGTTTGCTGACTCCGCAGTCTTTGTAACTCCCTCCAATTAATACAACACAGCGGCATTGTAAATAACTAACTTTTTTTTAATTTTCAACATTAAGTGGAAGTCAGTTATGACCAGAAGCCATTTGTTCCAGAAGATCCATATCATCCAGCCTTATCGATGTCGATTAAAATGTTGTCTCATCCTGGGTGTTCTACCTTTCCATCTACTTTTAATAAAACCTTCAACTTTCGTAGAGCTAATCTTATTTTATTATATGATGATCTCATCAATACTGATTGGTGTGTTTTATAAGTTTAATGATGTTAATCAAGCACTTGATGCATTTTATATCAGACTCATTAATATTTTGGAACGTTCTGTACCTTACAACAAGCCGTATAAACCTTGTTATCCTCCTTAATTTACCCCTAATATAATCTCACACATAAAAAATAAAAACTATTATAGACAAAAATGGCTCTCAACTAATAGTACTGTATTTCTTGATAACTTTAAGCGACTCTGCAATTTCCAAATCTGAAGTAGCTGAAGCTTATAATTCATATTTGCATATAGTTGAAATGTCTGTTCAACACAATCCTAAGGAAGTTTTCAAATTTATTCATATGAAACAACGTAGCATTCTGGTAAATTGCACGATGAAGAAGTAGCATACGAATCGTCTGAATATACGGTTAATGCGTTTGCAAGAGTCCTTTCTGATATCGTCCTTCGTCAGACCTATCAGTAAATGATATTCATAGTAACCTACCAAGTTTTAAACTTATGCCCGTCTCCGAAGAAGAGCTTCTTAAAATAATGTCAACCCTCCTTATCAAAAATAATGTAAGTGAAGATCAGATTCCAATTTTTGTCATTCATGACATTAGATTTGCGTTAGTTAAGCCTTTAGCTCTGATCATTAATAAAGGAATATCCACTTCTACTTTTCCAGTTAAGTGGAAACGAGCTAGGATAATTCCGATTCACAAAAAGAATGAACAGTCGCAACTGAAAAATTACCGTTCAATCGCAATATTGTCCAACTTTGCTAAGATCTTTGGACAAGTTATATATAAAGCAATTTTTAATAATATTCAAACCGACATTTCTCCTTATCAACATGGATTTATATCTGGACGATCAACAGTTACCAATCTTGTTACAATTACCCAGTTTATTTGTGAAGAATTGGATAATAACGGCCAAGGTGATGTGGTTTACACCGACTTCTCAAGCGCCTTCGATACTGTGGATCATCAATTCTTTTAGACAAACTTAGTTTCTTCGGTTTTGCTCAATCATTCCTGGCCATTATAACGTCATATTTTATCAGATCGAATCAATTATGTCTCCTACAATGGTTATAAGTCACAAGAATATGTCTCAACATCAGGCGTGCCTCAAGAGTCCAATCTTGGACCACTGTTCAATTGTTCATTGATGATCTTCTTGGATCATTATCTTATCATGCACTTGCCTATGCTGATGATTTGAAGATTTACTCTAAAATTTCGAGTGTGAATGATGTTAATTATCTGCAGCACAACCTGAATAAGATTGTACTTTGTACTCTTCGTACTAAGCTAAAATTAAATATTGACAAATGTATAGTTTCGTACTGTTACGTTGAACTGGTGTTTAAAATCGGCATGGGTTAAACTCAACAATTTATTTCTTAATAACTCGAATTTACACGACTAATTACATACTGATTATGTACAAAATAATTCCGATTGGAATGGATTTAATTAAACTCTACTTCTCCCATTGTTCGGACTCCTCTGCTCACTCACGACGGTGATTTCCATTTAAACAGCCACGCGGTTCTTCTTGAAACGCCTCCGTCACCGCTTTTAAACTTGTCTGGAGCACCCACCGCGACTTCCACTTCCAGGCTTTTCTTTAGCGAACGGCCGCTGTCACCGAAGACCCATTATCGCCGCACATACTAGAAAACCCATAGGCGTCGTACTGGGACGGCGTATGGGTTTATTTCGTAACAGTACACTCGTAGAAAACATAGTGTTCCTTCTTCTTATAAGATCAATGACGTACCGTTATCCAAAGGAACCCTTTGAAAGACCTTGGAGAACTATTAGGCACTAATATAACTTTCGAAAATTATAATGAGAGTATTGCCTGTGCTACTTCTAAACTTTAGGCTTCATTATGCGAACTGCTAAACTATTTCGCAATCCACTGGTATTTTTCTTTTGTTTTGTCTAAACTTGAATTTCCTTCCAACATTTGGTCTCCATATTAGAACTATTTGTCACCAGTTAGTGTTAGAAAAAATCCAACGTCGCTTTTTAAAGTTTTTGTCATTCAAGGCTGTTGGGAGTTATCCCCCACGTGGTACTGACCCTGGGCGCCGGCAGGATTATTTCCAGGGGGGTGCACCCATACATTATAGGATATAGTATATTTGCTCCATTTTCGAATTGAGGAGGTGAATCAGGCATCCGTTTTTTAGGTGTTGGCTGATGAGACTGCTAATATTAGTGGCACAGAACAATTATTGATTGTATTTCGGTATTTGCGTTGTGATCAAGACAATAAAAATCCAATAATTTGCGAAGAATTTTTGGGATATGTGCCGCTGCAAGCACTGAATGCCGAAGCCATTTCAAAAACTATTATCCACTTCCTAGAAATTGCAATTTGGATTTAAATTAAAGTGTGTATTTTATACTAAGCCAGGGGGGTGCAAGTCTGCAAGTACTGACTATAATCTACTTTTAGATACACACAATCTTGACTCGTTAGCCTTTCGAAGAAGACGACTTGGTGCCAGATTTATTTGGAAGATTTACATGGTAGGCTGGACTGCAGTT